AAATAAAAATAAAAAATAGAAACCCTAAATCACGAAGAAATGTGTTTTGCTGCTTCCCTCTTCGTGTGGAAGGCTGTTTTCTTTCTTTCCAGGACTCAATATACTTAGAAGGCATCCTTTACTGAATAATAACTTTCTTTTAAAAATGTGTCAAACTCAGGTAGCCTCAATCCCAGGTATGAGGCGTCCTGAAGCGTGCCATACTTTTGAACAAAGAAGCCTGTAATTCCAGCAAGGCGTGACATCACGAGGTTAAGCACGGTGCCTCAGCTGCAAGTGGAAGTTCACCAGGAAGAGGAAGAAAAGAGGAGGAGAAAAAACCGAAAAGGGACTTCCTGCAAAGTTGCTACAGAACTTTCCTGGCTTGACCACTGGCAGAAGAAGGCTCTTCCTTCCAAAAAAAATGGTTAAAAGGCACTCCACTTTCCTCTGCCCCCCTTCTATTATTTAAAGAGGCAATAGCCATAGATTATTTGCAACATTCACACTTGCCCCAAGCAAACAAAGGATTCCTCCAGGCAGCAACCAGCCAGGCTTTGAAGCTGCAAGACCATTCACACTTGCTTCAAGCAGATAAAAGAGTTTTCTCCCACCCCAGACATTCCACAGCTATATAAACCTCACTTGCCTAGTTTTCAACAGACTTCACAACCTCAGAGGATGCCTGCCATAGATGTGGGCGAAACGTCAGGAGAGAATGCTTCTGGAACATGGCCATACAGCCCGGAAAACTCACAGCAACCATAATGAATATTATACTTCTCTGCACCCTTGAATTTTTCTCCTTTCCTGTCCATCTTAATTTAGGATTCCCCCAGGCAGGAAGCAGCCAGGCTTTGAAGCTGCAAGGCCATTCACACTTGCCTCAAACAGATAAAAGAGTTTCTCCCACCCTGGTCATTCCAGCTATATAAACCCCACTTGTCTAGTTTTCAACAGACTTCACAACCTCTGAGGATGCCTGCAATAGATGTGGGTGAAACGTCAGGAGTGAATGCTTCTTGAACATGGACAGACAGCCCGGAAAACTCACAGCAACCTAATGAATATTATGATATTTCTCTGCACCCTTGAATTTTCCTGCTTTTCTTTCCTGTCCATCTTAACTTAGGATTCCCCCAGGCAAGAAGCAGCCAAGATTTGAAGCTGCAAGACCATTCACGCTTGCCTCAAGCAGATAACAGTTCTTTCTCACATCCTGGACATTCCACAGATATATAGAGAATTCTACCAGAATTCAGAACCTTTGAGTATGCCTGCCAAACATGTGAGCAAAATGTCAGGAGAGAATGCATGGCCATACAGCACAGAAAACTCACAGCTACCCAGTTTGCCCATTTCTCAGGTCACAAAAGGGTGCATCATTGACATTAATAGAGGTCACGCAGCGGAATTGGCACATAAAGTGATAGAAGTCATATATGGGAAAATTACTGTGTTTACAAATTGTACAACACCACCAATGTCGCCGGAAAAAAATAATACATATATAGAGCACTTTAAAAAATAACACTATGTAACAAAATCTGAAAAATTTTGTTCCTGGTTTGGAAATGTTATTTCCTGTTGAATTGTGTGGTCCTAACTTTGAAAGTAGCTGTGTTGTTGGAAGGCTCTCATGGCTGGAATCACTGGGTTGCTGTGAGTTTTCTGGGCTGTATGGCCTTGTTCCAGAAGCATTCTCTCCTGATGTTTTGCCCACATCTATGGCAGGCATCCTCATAGGTTGTGAGGTCTTGCCTGCCATAGATGTGGGCGAAACATCAGGAGATAATGCTTCTGGAACATGGCCAGACAGCCCGGAAAACTCACAGCAACCCTTTGAAAGTAGGTGTTCTACTCCAGAAACTAGGCCACAAACTATGTTGAATTGGTGGAGACTTTCAGGCCCCTTCCACACAGCTGAATCAAATCTCACATTATCTGCTTTGAACCGGCATATAGGGCAGTGTGGACTCAGATATTCCAGTTCAAAGCAGATGATGTGGGTTAGTCTGCTTTGATATTCTGGGTTATATGGATGTGGAATGGCCCTCTAAGGCTCCTTCCACACAGCCGAACCAAATTCCATATTATCTGCTTTGAACTGGAATATAGGGCAGTATCGACTCAAGATAACCCAGTTCAAAGCAGATATTGTGGGATTTTCTGCTTTGATATTCTGGGTTATATAGCTGGGTGGAATAGCCCTCGAAGGCCCCTTCCACACAGCTGAATCAAATTCCATATTATCTGCTTTGAACTGGAATATAACATTTCTTTTTCCATCCTGAGTTTTTATCTTTTTAACTTGTATAGGTGGCCCGCCCTTGGGATTGATTTTGCATTGTATTCGTTTTGTATTGTTTTTATTGTATTCTTATGTTTTATTGATTTAATCATGATGTTTATCTTGTTGTTTTGGTTTTATCTTGTTGTAATGTACTGCCTCATGTAAGCCGCCCTGAGTCCCCTTTGGGGAGATGGTGGCGGGGTATAAATAAAGATTATTATTATTATTGAAGGAGCTAATGAGCTTAATAATGCAAAAACTTAGAGTAAAGACACCCTTCTAGGCAAAAGGGTATGGGAGATTGGAAGCCAAAGGGGAGATTATGTGTTTTGAATACACAGGATGTTCAAGATGTCTAAAAACACAGGATGACCTGACATTTCAATGCTGATCTATATACAAAAAATATATATGTTTATCTATGCTGGTGCCGCATAGGTAGAGCTTATCGGTTAGAAGTGCCGAAATGGCCAAATAATGAGAAAAGCATGTTTTTAAGAATCTGGCTGCCGATAAGTTGCCGAGCCAAATTCAAGGTGCAAGTCATTACCTATAAAGCCCTAAACCAGTGGTTCTCAACCTGGGGTCCCCAGGTGTTTTTGGCCTACACTCCCAGAAGTCCCATCCAGTTAACCAGCTGTTAGGATTTCTGGGAGTTGAAGGCAGAAAACATCTGGGGATCCCAGGTTGAGAAGCACTGCCCTATACGGTTTGGGCCCAGCCTGTCTCAGTGATCGCATCTCCTTCTATGAACCGGCACAAGCTCTAAGATCTTCCGGGGAGGCCCTCCTCTCAGTCCCACTACCGTTGGTAAGGGACGAGAGAGAGGGCCTTCTCAGTGGTGGCCCCCTGTCTCAGGAACTCCCTTCCAAGGGAAATAAGACAGGCCCCATCCCTCCCCTCCTTTCGTAAGAGCTGGAAGACCTGGTGGTTTCAACAAGCCTTTGTAAATGACTAGTTCTAACTCAGCCCTACACATTGTCAAATACAGCCTTATTCTTCCTACCAATTACCCAGATCTTCCTCTAATCGGCCCCGGAATGAACAGCCACAGACCCGTACCTAATATTATTGTTGCCTGCCATAGCATTGCACTTAATTCCTGGGCCCCCTAGAATTTTTGGGCTTGCACAAATCTTGGCCCGGCCTTTTAAATTTTTAATTGCCTTGAACAGGCAGGATTACTTTTAATATATGTGTGTTATGGCGACAATTTTTATGCTTATATTTTGTTTTGTTAATCTTATGGTTATGTGTTTTTTACTCTATATGTTTTGTGATGTTACCTGGGAACTGCTCTGAGTCCCCTCGGGGAGATGGAGCGGTATATAAATAAAGTTTTATTATTTATTATTATACTATGATGGAGCCCCCGGTGGCGCAGTGGGTTAAACCCCTGTGCTGGCAGGACTGAAGACCGACAGGTCACAGGTTCGAATCCGGGGAGAGGTGGATGAGCTCCCTCTATCAGCTCCAGCTCCTCATGCGGGGACACGAGAGAAGCCTCCCACAAGGATGATAAAAACATCAAATCATCCAGGCGTCCCCTGGTCAACGTCCTTGCAGACAGCCAATTCTCTCACACCAGAAGCGACTTGCAGTTTCTCAAGTCGCTCCTGACACGACAAAAAAATAATAATAATCTGATTGGAGAATGGAGACGGATTGAGGGGTTACTCCTTGACACAGGAAAAATTGTATAAAAGATAAGAGGAAGATTATAACAAGACAGAAAGCTATTTTTTTGAAGGCACATTCTGGTTTTCAGCTATTCTGTCTCTGTGTGGCCATGCTGAAAAAAAATTAAATATTTTTGCTTTACTCAAGGAGGCTGGTTGTTTGCATCTGCTCTGTGGGACCAAGAAGTTTTAGGGGGTCCCCTCTCATTATAATTATTATTATTATTATTATTATTGACACAAAAGCACAGTATGTCATAGCAAACGAGATAGATATGCTGGATTTCGTATCACAAAATCACAAGTCGAACACTTCCCAAGCGTATAGGACTGTGTGATATTATTATTATTATTATTATTATTATTGGGCAGTGTAGACTCAAATAACCCAGTTCAAAGCGGATATTGTGGGATTTTCTGCCTTGATATTCTGGCATAGGGGGTTGTGTGGAAGGGCCTTGGATTATATTGCTGTGTGCAAGGGTCCTTAGCACAGACTCATTGAAAAACTCTATGTAAACAAAGTTTTTGGCAGTTTAATAAACTTTGTTTCCCTATGATAGAACCAATGAGGAAATGACATTTCTGACTCAGGAATAAATCATTGTGTCACCTAGTGTAACCCATGCCTCTTGACCCTATTTATGGGATCCTGGGAGTTGTAGTTTCCCAAGCTTCCTCTGCCAAGGAGTGCAAAGGCCTCCTAGGAATGTCAGAGTGGGATCAAACTGAAATGTAGTTGCACCAAAGAGTGGCCAGCCTGGAAATGAAACCTGGCTCTCTTTAAGTTGGGAAGGAAGGTGGGGGGTGATACACAGAAGCCTGCTCCTCTTCCCTTCCCTCCCCCCTCCCTCTTTTGCAACTCTCAAACCGGATTAGGCCCTAATCCCGCCTCCTGCTCTGCACTGTTCTGCTCCAGCAGAGGCGACCAACTTCTCCCCAGCCCCCTTCTCTGCTTGCAAACACGCGTTGGGAGTGTTTTGTGCAATGGGAGGAGGAGGAGGGGTTGCTGCAAAGAGTGGGGTGTTGCAAAGACTCTTCCTTCCTACTTTTTCGTGCAATCCAGCAGGACCCCCGTGAAGCGCCTCTCCCCGCTGCTCCAGGTGACCACCAAGGTGTCGCCCGCCATCTGCTCCACCAGCACCGGCAGGAAAGAGCCGACCTGCGGCTTCTGGGCCTCCCTTGCTGCTCCTGCTCCTGCTGCCTCCTCCTCCTCCATGGCTGCTGCTGCTGCTTGTGGTGCCGCCTCCGGAGAGAGAACTAGGCTGGCCCCCGCGATGACCTCATGGCTCCCCCTCCCCAGCAGGGAGGATTAGGAGTAGGGGCGCTGACGTCACAAGGCTCGCCCTCCCGGGAACGTTCCACCGTGGAGCCCTGAAACAAGCAAGAGGCAACCAGTCAAGATCATTTGGGGGGGGGGGGGGGGGGGGGGGGGGGGGGGAAGAAGGACACAAAGCGGGGTTCAGCTCCTCCCCCCTTTGTTCTTCTGGGAGCTGCCCTCTGAGCCCCAAGGCCTCAGCCCCTCTGAGCCCTTCCAGCGGGATAGAAATACATTCACAGAGTTGGAGGAGAGGACCCCAAAGGCCATCCAGTCCAGCCCCCCTTTCTGCCATGCAGGGAGACACCATCAAACCTTCCCCACAGATGGCCATCCAGCTTGTGTGTATATGTGTGTGTGTGTGTGTGTATATATATACATACATACATACATACACACACACACACACACACACACACTCATACATTCACCAGGTTGGAAGAGTCACTCCTGACACGACAAAAAAAAAAAAAAAACCAGGTTGGAAGAGCACCCCAAAGGCCATCAAGTCCACCCCCCCCTTCTGTCATGTAGGGAGACACCATCAAAACCCTCCCTACAGATGGCCATCCAGCGTGTGTGTGTGTGTGTATGTATGTGTGTGTATATATGTGTGTATATATGTATATATGTATGTATATATGTGTGTATATATATGTGTGTGTGTGTGTATATATATATACACACACACACACACACACACATTCACTGAGTTGGAAGAGGGCCCCCAAAGGCCATCCAGTCCAGCCCCCCCCCTCCTGCAATGCTGAGACACCATCAAAACTCTCCCCACAGATAGCCATCCAGCTTGTGTGTGTATATACACACACATATACATTCACACACATGCATTCATACATTCACCAAGTTCAGAGGGCCCCCAAAGACCGTCCAGTCCAGTCCACTTCTGCCATGCAGGGAGACACCAACAAAACCCTCCCTACAGATGGTCATCCAGCTTGTGTGTGTGTGTGTGTGTGTATACACACACACACACACATACACACACGCATTCATACATTCACCAAGTTGAGAGAGGGGCCCCAAAGGCCATCCAGTCGTACCCCCCCCCTTCAACCATGCAGGGAAACACCATTAAAACCCTCCCCACAGATGGCCACCCAGCTTGTGTGTGTGTGTGTATCTATATACACGAACACAAACACACATGCATTCATACATTCACCAAGTTGGGAGAGGGCCCCCAAAGACCATCCAGTCAAGACTCCTGCTGCCATGCAAGGAAACACCATCAAAACGCGCCCCACAGATGGCCACCCAGCTTGTGTGTGTAAACACACACACACATATACATTCACCAAGTTGGAAGAGGGCCCCCAAAGGCCATCCAGTCCCCCCCCCTTCAGCCATGCAGGGAAACACCATTAAAACCCTCCCCACAGATGGCCATTCAGCTTGTGTGTGTGTATATATACACACACACACATTCACCGAGTTGGAAGAGGGTCCTAAAAGGCCATCCAACCCAGCCCCTCCTTCAGCCATGCATTGAGACACCATCAAAACCCTCCCCACAGATGGCCATCCAGGTCCCCTCCTGAGAAGGAGAGCCACCATATCCCAAGTTGTGTGTGTTTACATATATCATATTTTATATGTTTGTGAGTGTGTGTGTATATATATATGTGTGTATGCACATCTCTGGCTGCATGGCTGAAGATGGCCTTTGTAGTCCTCTTCCAACTCTCTCTCTCTCTCTCTCTGTATGTGTATATATGTGTGTGTGTGTGTGCATTCATATATTCACCAAGTTGAAAGAGGGCCCCCAACGACCAGACCAGACCAGCATCCTCTTCTGCCATGCAATGAGACACCATCAAAACTCTTCTGACAGAGGGCCATCCATCTCCCCTCTGGAGGAGAGCCAGCATATCCCAAGTTTTGTGTGTGTGTGTATATACACATATATACATATATATATAAATATACACACATACATATACGGTATACATTTACCGAGTTCGAAGAGGCCACCCAGCTTCTTTCCAGAGGAGAGCCAGCATATCCCAAGCTATATATAGATATATATATATTCGGCGTTGGAAGAGGACTCCAAAGGCCATCTAGTCCAGCCCCCCTTCTTCCATGCAGTCAGACACAATCAAAACTATCCCCACAAATGGCAATCCAGATCCCCTTTGGAGAAGGACAGCCAGTATATACCAAGTTGAATATATATACAGAATTGGAAGAGGATCCCCAAAGGCCATTTAGTCCAGCCCCCATTCTGCCATGCAGGGAGACACCTGCCAAACCCTCTAGACAAGGAAAACCAGAATATCCTTAGTTGAAAGAATATATATATATATAATATATATATGCGCGATTCTCAGCTTGGCCCCCTCCTCCATGTAACATCTTTCCAAATATTTTAACATGGCTTAACAACAACAACAACAACAATGGTTCAGTTTAGGGATACCAAAAATAACCCCTCCAATGCCAAGGGGTGAACAAAACTAACACTATGTAACAAAATTTGGGGGGGAAAAGTTCCTGGTTTGAAAGTGTTGTTTCCTGTTTAATTGTGCGGTACTGACTTTGGAAATAGTTGTTATAGTCCAGAAACTTTGTGTAGCTGCCACAAACTATGTTGAATCAGTTGAGACTCTAAGCAATATTCATTGCAAAACTATAGCAAAATGTCCTGCAGGAGGTCCTACAAAAAACAACGTTTTTTGCAGTTTGACACTCGTTTTCCATTGTTTTTTTTATATAACCTATTAGGAATTGACATTTATCACCCAGGAACAAAAATCGTGTTACAGAGTGTAATCCAACAGTGCCGATCTCTTCCCTCACCTGCAAAAAAAGAAGTCATTCTTTGGGCCCGCAATGTGCAACGCCTTCCCTTCCTGTCTGGATATTTACTTACCTGGAGTGAGTGGGAGGCTAAAAGGCGCCTTGCTCTGCACTGGGGAGCTTGCTAGGCAGGCTTACCAGGAAGCAAATGCTTTTCTGGTGCCCTCACATGCCTCATGCCGGGAGACAAAGCTAAGCTCTCCAGGCTTGCCAGCCAAAGCACAGGTGATCTCTGTACTCCTCCATGTGGCTTTCAGATCCAGCTCATTTCAGTTGGGTTTAAAGTCGAGCCATGTATATATACTCACACACACAAACTCATCTGTTTTGTTAACAGCTGAACCTCATGCATGTGGACAACATGTGCACAGATAGGGAGCTCACTGGAGTTTGCTCTGAAGTCACTTGCAAAACCACCTTCACGTATTCCTTGCTAAGAAGACTCTATAACCTCCGAGGATGCCTGCCATAGATGCAGGTGAAATGTCAGGAGAGGATGCTTCTAGAACATGGCCATATAGCCCGAAAAACCTACAACAACCCAATGATTCCAGCCATAAAAGCCTTCGACAATACAAGACCCTATAAAGTTCATGGGATTGCCATAAACCAACAGGCGACTTGAAGGCACACATGCAAACCTGCCTCAAATTGCCCTTGGCAGTTGGGAACTCTCCTAGGCCTCATCTACACTGAATTTTTAATGCAGCTCGAAGCTGGGTTATAGGAGTCTATCTGGATTATATGAACTGGATTATATGAGTCTACACTGCCATATAGTCCAGTTCAAAGCAAAAAAAAATCTGTATTTTATATGGCAATGTAGAAAGGGCCTCAACATTGTAACACTTTTGTACCCCATCTTGAGCCAAAGTGATGTGGGGAATAAATAAATAATTATCATCATCATCATTATTTGATACACAACAAAATTAGTACACAGCAAACAACATCGCTCTGCTGGTTTTTGTATTTGATCTCACGTCAGACACTTCCCAGTGTCTACGACTGTGTGATGTATCGGCAAATAATGCGTGCAGATCCCAGTAGAATGGCCTTTTGCAGCTGACAGATGGAAATTTTGTCAGCTCTGATTGTTTTTAAGTGCAGGCCAAGGTCTTTAGGCATTGCACCCAGTGTGCTGATCACCAGTGGGACCACTTTTACTGGCTTGTGCCAGAGTCTTTGCAGTTCTGTCTTTAAATCTTCATATTCTGTAAGCTTTTCCAGTTGCTTCTCATCAATCCTGCTATCACCTGGGATTGCAACATCGAATCCATACTTGTTTTTCCCCCCACAAATGTGAGGTCAGGAGTATTGTGCTCCAACATTGTTGTTGTTGTTAGACACACAAGATTAGTAAACAGCAAACAAGATCACTATGCTGGCTTTTGTATTGGATCACACATCAGACACTTCCCATATCATCATCATCATCCTCATGCTCTGTGGTTTGTGTAATCCACAACTGGGCCCAAGATTTCCTGTATAATCGTGTGCACACCAAAACTTCTCTCTTCAATACCAGTTTGAAACTGCCTTAAATGGGCAAGGAACCACATTGGGTCTCCTCGTGGAGAGAAAAAACAAGGTATAAATAAACATAAACCCTAATAATAATAACAACATTTTTTTCATGTCAGGAGCGATTTGAGAAACTGCAAGTCGCTTCTGGTGTGAGAGAATTGTCCGTCTGCAAGGACATTGCCCAGGGGACATTGCCCAGATATTTTGATGTTTTCCCATCCTTGTGGGAGGCTTCTCTCATGTCCCCGCATGGGGAGCTGGAGCTGTCAAAGGGAGCTCATCTACCCTCTCCCCAGATTCGAACCTCCAACCTGCTGGGCCTCAGTCTTGCCAGCACAAGGGTTTAACCCATTGCACCACCAGGGACTCATATAATAACAATAATTATAATGTAGATGGGACCATGGTTAGTCTAGTGTCCTCCAGACATTTGGGTTGAAATGACTTAGGTCAAAGGGATTTTGAAAGGCCTCAAAACACCAGATCTAGTCTGATTTTCAAAGCTAAGCTGTGTCAGCCGTGGTTAGTGCTTGGATGAGAGACCACCAATGCAATGGAGAAAGGAACTGGAATGGCAAAACTATATCTGACTGAAGATTCAAAGGCAGTGGCACAAATACAAGGGAATTATGGTCCATATACCTCCTTTCCCCTAATCCAACATACGCAGACAACCATTAATTACACTGAGACTTGTTTCCAAATA